TCTTACAGGAGATTCATTTTTCTGTCTCATTTAACAGCAGAATGATTCTTTAATAAATCTCTTGAATGGAAAGAACATGTCGTTTGTGACTTCATCATTGTTCAGTAGTCAATTCCCAATCATTTTTTCTACCCTGTGCTGGTTCGTTCTTCTGGAAGTCTGTTTAAGAGCTGGTGTGAGATCCATCTGAAAGTCTACAGGTGATGTGAATAGATTCTGTCATGATAGTTTGGTTTGTCAGGATGGAAGTCTAAATGGTTGAGCTGCTGATCTTAAGTGCCTTGAACTTCCGATGCTCTCCCACCGCCCTGACATTTATATCTCGATGTAACCGTTGTAGTGATCTCGTGGGTTGTTCTAGCAAACCCCTTGAATTGCGTTGTGAATTACAAATGAATAATTCTCAGAAAAATCAAATAGCACTATTGAACTCTCTTCTTTCAAATAGGAATTGAGTCACTGTCCTAAGTGCCACGAACAGACGATTTTCCTCTACTTTAACCTTCTTCCCTGTGGTCACTTGATACATTTCCGGTTGTCAAAATTTGCAGCTGCCAAGAAACATACTTTTAAATGTGAAGTCAGCTTAATATTAGTTCTATTTAACTTTTCTAACATCACTGGAATTATTTGCCTTCAACTTTTGACATGGTTTCTCCCATACTTTTCTAAATTAAAGGGTTTGAAAAAAAACATCTGAGTTTGACACTTTCTCACACTTTTTGTTACTTGTATAAAACACTAATATCAGTGTTTACACTACAAATCCTTTTCCATACATCACACTTCCTAAATTGGGACACCCAACTGCACGCAACCTTCAGGTAAATCACATCGGCGACTGATTGAGCCTTGTACAATGAAACAAAGAATTCACTATTTGGGAATAAAACTGCCAACAGCTCACCCTGCTTCACATACTTCTCAGTCACAGTAGGATTGTTTATGTAACTCAGCCAGAAACGTGACCCTTTCACAGTAGGTAGAATACACTCTAGAACACAAAACTTTGCAACCAAATGTTTCTCCATCCTAATTGTTTTTGTATGTGTAGAGCATTTAAAATAGATTGTCAGAAAAAAATGGCCAGCACAAACTCTTTTGGTCTACTACATGAAAAATAACATTTTTTTCATATTTATGACTTTATATCATATTATGCATGCCCTTTAAAACATTAATTCATGTTAAACAAGCCAGAATTTTATTAACTCAGTGAAAGTGTGAATAAAATTCTCAAATTCATGTTTGTTTTTTTTTAATTTAAGAAAATTGGCAGCATGCGCTCCAAATGACGTTTTGCGCACCAAATTTTAAAAAATCATAACTTTGGAGATAATAACATTTGACGATTTACAAAAAAGCATTGTCTCTTCATTTTGTCTGTAGAATATATTAAAACTGGTGAGTATACATTTTCTTCAAAATTGTTCGCTTTAGCATGGAATGCACCAAAGCAGTAAAATAACAAATAAATATACTAGTAACTTTTAATTCCAAGCTAACAATTAAAAATTATTTCAAAAATATTGAGGTGTCTGAACTTAAAGTGGTTCTCTAAATTGTATTTTGCCATTTATGGTAATTGAAATGTAGAGAACATACTTCTTAAGGTCATGAGCTGGAAGGAAAGGAGACCATCATGAGATGGTGATATATAAGTTTCGGAACACTTCATCAAATGATTCCTACCCAAGAAATAATGCCAAATTTATTGTTTTATCTTGTTATCTATTTATTGTTTTCTCGGTTGTTGTTGTCCCTCCCAACAAGACAAGTACTTTAATTATGAACTCATTGTTTTCAGTTCTCATAACTCACAGGATATAGATAAAAATACTGATCAAAGACTAAATTTCTCAAAACATACCTACAGCTAGGTCAAGTTGAAACCAACTTTCAACCTGCAAATTATGGTAAAGGACAATAAAGAGGTTTCAGTTTTGTCCAATTACAAATAAGGACAAAAAGGACCCGAACAACTTGTGTGTTGAGCCTCAAAAAGTGTAATGCATAATTATGTAATGAGCAAACTTTTTTTTAAAATTATACTATACTTTTATATATTATTTACATCCCTTAAACAAAAGGGAAAAGTTTAAGTTGAATGTAAATCAGACGAGTCAAAAAAAAGCTTGGACAATGCAGCAGGGTTAATTGATTATTCATTATTTCTTTATAAACATGTGCATCCTATTTCCTTCACACACTTTGTATTTAAAATGTTCAATGTTCAGTTTTATCAAGGTATGAGAATGCTCTTCAAAGTTGTGAGAATTCATAAATTGCCCAAACAAACCTTATATTAGGAGCGGTAATGAAAATAATCAATGAAATATTTCACTGTGGTAACCAATTGCAATTTCTGATCAACGTCCTGTGAATTTCATTTTCTTTTATTTTCCATATTTTTTTCAGATTTGTCATACGTGGCAATTTGTGATGCTAACCGACATGTATATGTATATAGACAGCCAACTAATGAGCAGGGTGAATTAAGAAATAGACGAACAGGTCAGAAAGTTTCACACACTGCCCAGCAACAACTTGTTGCTCTTAGTGATAATGCAGAAATAATGGGTGCTCATGCAAGCAATCATACTTTGTTTGTGCTCACAACAAACTACATTTTAGCTTTAAATGTTAATCCATAAAAGGTATGTTTTTTTGTATAATTGTTTTCTTTGTGCTGAAGATGAAAATATCACAGTTTAAAAATGAATTGTGAGTATTGCTTAATGGATATTCCAGGGAAGTTTTTCAACATTCACAGTTGCATGCATTAAGGAAGAAATAAATTTAAACACTAAATTAATTTGGAAACAAATAAATTAATTACATATGCTGCTACATTCTGACAAGTTTCATTTAAAAGATCTCCTTAAAATTATTATCATACACTTACAAAAATTGATCTGTAAATTGTTTACTTTGCATTTCTAACTAGACTCTGACATGCAGTCTGTACATCAGGATAACAGTATTTAAAACCATAAGCTTGAGTTCGTTTCGGAATAACTTTTTGTCCTTCTGTCATCATTTTAGCTCTCTCTTCACTGAAAGCTAAATTCAATAGAAATACTGGCACAGGTATAGATGCTGGGCGCCACATGGCTCGAGCTAGAGCTTTTGAAAATTGCTTATTTGTGATAATCTGTAAAAGTGAAAACGTAGAAGTGTGTTTAAAAATGAACTATGATAATAATAGCATAAAGGAATGACAAGAAAATTCAACTTTGAGTGATGAAAGTAAAACAATAATACACAGATAGCATTCAATTAAAGCACAAAATTCACATCACAATCAGAACATCTTTAAGATGCTTTAAAATGAAAACTGTGGATATGATTTAATTTTCGAAACCTTCTATAATGATGAGGTTTTAATACCAATCCAAAGAAACATACCTCTGGGGATACACCATTCAAGACACCTTTGACACTCTCATTTTCTATAGCAAAAAGAATTAATCGAGTAATATCATCGATGTGAATCCATGGAAGAAATTGGTTTCCATCACCAACTGGCCCTCCCATTCCAAAATAGAACGGAAGCCACAACTGTTTCACCATACCACCATTTCGACCTAGAACAACACCTAGCCAATAGACATTTTATATTAATAAAAAAGACCTCTTTAGCATCTTTTTCGTTTGAATTTGATTAATACACATCAATCAAAATATAGAAATCATAAGTTGCACAGCTTAAGAAAAATATTTAGGAAACAGGTGATGTGTAGTGGCTTGAATGTAATGAGGATAATCCTGGACAAGAGAAGTTGGCAGATGGAAAAATTTGTGTTTATGAGAACAATGACAAAGAGCCTCGCGGTATTGACAGTGATGAAGTAGGACCATCCATCAAGAAAGCTGTTCTCTGCCTTGACACAGTACTGAAGTGGTTAGAATAATAATAAAAAATGTAATACTTTACAAGTGCTGACTAAAGCATTTGCGAGATGTATCGCCCCGAAAATGAGATGGGCAAAAAGCATTGGGTTTCTTCTCTCTGTAAAATTGCATTACACTACTTTGTATCAAAACAAACATTTTAAAACAACAGACATCTGAAAATAAAGTGGGGTAAGTTACCTTGCTCCTACAACTCCACAAAGCAACATTCATTTTTTTCACCATCACTTAGTTATATTTAGGGGGCGGATTTTAATGAAATTTTCCTTTTCGCTTTAGAACAATGCTGTTTAGAATATACATTAATTTTATGTTATGACAAAACGAAATGACCCATCTTTATGTCATTATTTTGCATTCTTCGTTGAGTTCTACAAATTAAACATTTTTAATGCATTTTTTGCTGATTTCTTAGATTTTAATATTATTTTAATGGTACTTCAAACAATATTTAGGAGTTGCAACAAATGTCCAGGAAAGAATTCCTATTCGATTTTTTTGCTCGTATATTGTAATGTCAGCCGTTGAGAGTACTAAGTAATCTTAAGGTCCCTGTGATGCCTATCAGCACCAGCAGATTTCGCGACAAAATAAATGCAGAGATTTTCTTTAAAAGAACAGCCCAAACCAAAAGTATGCAAGCCGAGTTCACTTGAACGAAAGCCTCAATTACATCAGAAACATATCCAACAGTTTGTGTTGTTCATGAGAAGTGGTTTTAATACATTTTTTTTAACCTCATTTTTGTTTGTTTTTAGGGCATTTTTAAAGCATTTTATTCATCATTTTTGGCAGTGATTTAGACCAAATATTCACCCCTAGTTATATTATTTGATGTTTCCGAGCTTGTAGACCGTGGTCCAAAGGAGTCTTCTTCACTTTGGACCATGGCCTACAAACCCAGAAACCTCAAATAATATTGACACCAGCCATGAAAGTCTACATTGTAAGTTTATACTTAGGTTACCCAAACGCACCCAATCCCTAATTGTTTCAGTTAATAGACACTACTGGGTTTGTTACTGTAGATCTTTGGTGAAAATAATTGATCCCTTGCCAAAAATTGATACAATTATCTGTAAAATCATTTATGCAGCATTGATGTACATTATCAAACATAGTGCTCTCATTTTAGGACAGATTATTGGTAAGGTTAATCAATTACAAAAAAATCATTAATTAGTACTTCATATTCCAGAGAAAACAAATAAAATGACAAAATGATGAATTGTACTGTGCAATTTAAAACTAGAAAGAAAAATATGTAATTTTAATCCATCTTGTTCTGTAGGTGTGGTTTTTATAATTATTATTTTATTTTTATTATTAGTATTTCAAGTAAGTTATTATTAGTAAATAGTTATTTTTACAGTGCATAAAATATAATTAATATTATATATTTTATTTTCATATTTTCTCCAGAAGGTTTCCATGTATTTTGTCAATAAATTGTTTGTCATGTTAACCTTTAGTAAGACAATTTTTTGTCTTTTCAATTACAAAATTAGTTGTATTTTCGTGATGCCAATGCTTAAAGAGCAGATTATGCTTACCAGATCTAAGTATCACCCTTCGCACACCTATATCTATTGGAAGATTTCCTGCAGCTTCCCAATCATGACACAAATTAGATAAAAAGTCAAATGGTTTTCCTTCATAATCTTCTGTGTATTCTTTACTGGCACAAGGCTTGTAAATACCTAACAAAAATTGTATTATTTCATATTGCAATTATTCATAACATTTTCTTCAATAATTGTGGTGTTTCATTTAACATACCTACTCCAGAAATTGTAATGAAAACCTTTGGCTTAGCTTTGGCTTCAATTATTGCTTCAGCTAGGGAAGAAGTGCTATTAACTCTACTTGCCCATACATTCTGTTTGAATCCTTTCGTCCATCTGCGGGTGGGGTCTAAAACATTTTGACCCGCTAAATTTACTACAGCTGTAGTCTCGGGGGGCAGGCCATTTTTACCTAAATCAGCCTAAAAACAGCAATCTGTGTTAGTTGTAAGCGAGCAAAAGCGTATCTGCAATGTGGAACGTACCCAAGATATTCTTTGAGGACCCGGTACTCTAGAAACGACGGTCACTCCATAGCCTTCACGTCGCAGAAGCTTGGATAGAGCACTTCCAATAAATCCAGTCCCTCCACCTACGTGATAAAAGCAATTTTATTAGTTTACTTTCAAAACAGAAGTGCAGCTGGTTTTGACAGTACTTATGTTGCCCTAGTTGATTTCGTACCGATGACTACGTTTCGAATCATGATGTAAAGGATTTCTACCACTTCATTGCTCGTCTTACAACAAAAAGTCCACTAACGTAAAAGTGATAATTTTATCAAATTTAATCTCGGCACATTTAGAACTTATATTGTGAGGTTATATTAAAACACCCGGACGATTGGTGAGTGG